TTCAAAAGTGACTTTTTCCCAAATACAAAGTCTAGGGCACTCTAAATCAAACTGTATTCCTTGAGAATTCCTTTTCTTTAGGTGGGGTCTACATATTAATCAAGTTTGGGAAATGCTACCCTAGGAGTTAAATTAAAAATGACTTGGCTGGACTGGACTGGCTCAGTAGTTGAGGTCACAGTTTGATTCCCAGTCAAGGCACATGCCTGGGTTGCGGGCTCAATCTCCATGTGGCCTGTGCAGGAGGCAAATGATCAATGATTCTCTCTCATTAATGTTTCTCTCCCTTCCTCTCTGAAATCAATAAAAATATTTTTTTAAAGAAAAATTATTTGGAGGAGGGTACAAGTGGCTAAGGCAAAAATTTGAAAGATTATGGTAATTTAGACCAGAGAAATGCAGAGAGAAGCTAACTGGACCCAGAAGGTAGAATGTTTGACACCGGAGACCTATTAGTCCAGTGATTGAGGGAGTCAGGTATCAGGCTTGACAATCAGACTTCAGGTAGATACAACTGAGTTGATGGTTATTGAGACAATAAAAGTTGAGAATTATGGACGCCAGCCTTTCTCTGTGCCTCAGTAACTTCCTAACTCAGCCTCTTCCTTCTAGGAGCGGTTAAACAGAGAGCCTGCCCCCCGCTGACCAGGGTTTTCCACCAACAAGCAAAGGAGGCAGGGAGGCAGGAATGAATGTGGAACACGAGGTTAACCTCTTAGTGGAGGAAATTCACGATTTGGGTTCAAAAAAATGCTGATGGCACTGAAACCGCTCAATGGATAGAGCGTCGGCTTGGGGACTGAAAGGTCCCGGGTTCGATTCCAGTCAGGGGCATGTACCTTGGTTGCGGGCATATCCCCAGTCGAGGGTGTGCAAGAGGCAGCTGATTGATGACTCTCTCTTATCAATGTTTCTAACTCTCTCTCTCCCTTCCTCTCTGTACAAAATCAATAAAATATATATTTTTTAAAAATGCTGATGGGAAGTTAAGTGTGAAATTTGGGGTCCTCTTCCGAGATGACAAATGTGCCAACCTCTTTGAAGCATTGATAGGAATGCTCAAAGCTGCAAAACGAAGGAAAATTGTTACATACCCAGGAGAGCTACTTTTGCAAGGTGTTCACAATGATGTTGACATTATATTGCTGCAAGATTAATGTGGTTTGTGTATCATTGTTCATTGTTATTTTCTGGTAAACTGGAATATTTTCAAGTCAGAGGAAAAACATGAGCATACTTAATGTATTTTTATAGAATTTGTAAACTCATTTTAGAAGTCCATCCTTTTCATATCTTGAAAGAAAATGTATGTATTACACTGTAAAATAAACAAAACTGATTCTTTTTCTTAGGATTCTGGTTGGAAAATGTAGGCATTGAGTCTTTGTGGTGGGCATGTGTTTCATAAATCATCCTTAGATAATTTCCATAGATAATTGATATTCTGTGAAAGCAAGAAGCAAACTGAAGACCACCTCCCACGAGGAATATTTTAATGTTTATGTAATAAAAGCATGTTACTATCTTTTTTTAAAAAAAGTTGAGAATTATGTACTGCCTATAAGTACTAGGTACTATTCAAAGCACCTCTGTGATAATTCATAGAGTTCTCACAAAACCTTAGGAGAGAAGAGCTATTACCTACATTTTATGAATAAGGAAATAGACTCACAGAGGTTAAGGTACTTACATAAGGCTGTTTCTAGGTCTGTAGCCAAGACCATGGTCAGTGAACCTGCCTTCTCAGGATATAACAGGATATAAGCCAGGAAGAAAAATAATAGTTTTATGATTCTGTGCTTTAGCTTGTATGAATACAAGTCTGTTTCCACTGGTGTGCCTTCTCAATGCAGCCCTCTCAGCAGCTCCATTGGTGTTTCACAACCTCTTACCTGGAACATGAAGTTCCCACACAGGAACTTTTGTCCATGGATGGCTGCATCAGTTGCTGTTTCTGTGGGGTGATGTGAGCAGACAACTTCCTACTCCACCATCTTGCTGACCCAGAGCAAACATTTTAAAGCTAAACTGATAGTATTCACTATTGGTTCTTAGAAGACTGAAACAAGAGTTTTCACATGTAGCATATAGAATCTTACATAGCACAGCAAAAATCCACATTTGATGTGCATCTCTGTGGTTATCCTCCTGGCTTGGAAATTCTCAGGGCATTTATCTTAGGAGAAAATCATAAGTCAAAAACCACTCCCCTATTCTGCCTGTCAAATTTCAAACTTAGAACTTCTGCTTTAATTTTTATGTGTTGTAAGCCCTCAAAAATAAGGTACAACATCTGCAAATCAATTAATGTGATACATCACATAAACAAACTGAGAGACAAAAATCACATAATCATATCAATCAATGCAGAAAAAGCATTTGACAAAATCCAACACCCTTTCTTGATAAAAACTCTCAGCAAAGTGGGAATAGAGGGCTCATACCTCAACATAATAAAAGCCTTATATGACAAACCTACAGCCAACATCATACTCAATAGCCAAAAACTAAACTCATTTCCCCTAAGAACAGGAACAAGACAAGGATGCCCACTTTCACCACTCCTGTTTGATATAGTACTGGAAGTGCTAGCCATAGCAATCAGACAAGAAGAAGATATAAAAGGCAATCAAATTTGAAAAGAAAAAGTAAAACTGTCCTTATTCTCAGATGACATGATATTGTACATAGAAAACCCAAAAGACTCCATCAAAAGAACTCTTGGACCTAATAAATGAATTTGGCAATGTAGCAGGATACAAAATTAACACCCAGAAATCTATGTCCTTTTTATACACCAATAATGAACACATGGAAAGAGAAATGAAAAAAAATTCCATTTACTATAGCACCAAAAAAATTAAGATACCTAGGAATAAACTTAACTAAGAACGTAAAAGACCTGTACTTGGAAAACTACAGGACATGAAAAAAAAGAGAGAGATAGAGGAAGACATAAACAGATGGAAGAACATACCATGTTCATGGATTGGTAGAGTCAACATCATCAAAATGTCCATACTTCCTAAAGCAATCTATAGGTTCAATGCACTCCCCATTAAAATACCAACGGCATATTTCACCAACCTAGAAAGAACTCTTCAAAAGTTCATTTGGAACAATAAAAGTCCCCGAATAGCCACAGCAATCCTGAGAAAGAAGGGTAAAGTAGGAGGGATCTCAATACCAGACTTCAAACTGTATTACAAAGCCACTGTTCTCAAAACAGCCTGGTACTGGCACAAAAACAGACATATAGATCAATGGAATAGAATCGAGAACCCAGATATCAACCCAAATCACTATGCTCAATTAATATTTGACAAAGGAGGCACGAATATACAATGGAGTCAAGACAGTTTCTTCAATAAATGGTGTTGGGAAAATTGGGCAGACACATGCAAAAGAATGAAACTAGATCACCAACTTACATCATACACAAAAATAAACTCAAAATGGATACAGGACTTAAACATCAGACGGGAAACCATAAAAATACTAGAAGCATCCACAGGCAGCAAAATCTCAGACGTATGCCAAAAGAACTTCTTCACTGATACTGCCCCTAGGGCAATGGAAGCTAAAGAGAAAATAAACAAATAGGACTACATCAAAATAAAAAGTTTTTATACAGCAAAAGAAACCATCAACAAAACAACAAGAAAGCCCATGGTGTGGGAGAACATATTTGCAAATAACACCACTGATAAAGGTTTAATCTCCAGCATCTACAGACAGCTGATACAACTAAATAAAAGGAAGATGAATGATCCAATTAAAAAATGGGCAATGGACCTAAATAGAATATTTACAAAAGAAGACAGAAGGAAGGCCAAAAGGCACGTGAAAACATGCTCAAAGTCACTAATTATCCGAGAGATGCAAATCAAAACAACAATGTGGTACCATCTCACACCTGTCAGAATGGCCAACATCAACAAATCAACAAACGACAAGTGTTGGCGAGGTTGCGGAGAAAAAGGAACCCTCGTGCACTGCTGGTGGGAATGCAGACTGGTGCAACCACTGTGGAGAACAGTGTGGAGTTTCCTCAAAAAACTGAAAATGGAACTCCCATTTGACCCAGTAATCCCACTTCTAGGAATATATCCCAAGAAACTAGAAACACCAATCAGAAAGGATATATGCACCCCTATGTTCATAGCAGCACAATCTACAATAGCCAGAATCTGGAAACAGCCTAGGTGCCCGTCAGCTGATGATTGGATCAAAAAACTTTGGTACATCTACACAATGGAATACTATGCTGCCATAAAAAAGAAGGAATTCTCATCATTTGCAGCAACCTGGATGGAATTGGAGAACATCATGCTGAGTGAAATAAGCCAATCAATGAAAGAGAAACACCACATGACCCCACTCATTTGTGGATAATAAAGATCATTATAAACTGATGAACCAAAAGATAGATATAGAGACAGTAAAGCAACAAGCAGATTGTCAAATTACAGTGGGGAGGAGAGGAGGGTCTGGGGGAGATAATAAATCAACCCAAGGACTTGTATACATGCATATAAGTACAACCAATGGACATAAAACTCTGGGGAGGGAGGGGATATGTGGGAGAGAAGGAGGGGGGCAAAAAAAATCAATAAAATATGTAAAAATTAAAAAAAATTAAAAAAATAAAAATAACAAAAGCAGAATGGAAAAGAGAGAAATATTACTGAAAATAGTCACTCACCTAATTTATTCTCATTGGGCTGAAGGCAAGGAGGAAATGTGAAACTTGAAGGTTTGGGATAGAAAACAAAGACAAATTATTACCTTATTCTCCCTGACCATATCTTTCAGGTCTTCTTCCTGGTTTGTGATATTACTTGGAAAAATATACTTCACCACACCTATCCGAATTGCTCAATATTTGCTTGAGTAAAAGAGGCTGCGGGCAAGCTGAAGGAGGAGCTCTCATTATTTTCTGTCTGTTATTCAATAAATAAGCAGCCAAGTCCTCACCATTCCAATATACTGTTGGAGAGATGAGACAATCACACCAGCTGCCCCTCTTGGGGCTCTTATTGTTTTCTCTTATTCCAAGCCAACTATGCACAATCTGTGGTGAGTATCCTTTGATCTAAAATTATGCTACTGTGAAAGTCTCTTGATAACTACTGACAGGAAACTTTGTATAGACTTACCTGAAAAAACATCCTATTTCAGTTTTATATGTGGTTGTGCTCTATGTGTAATGTAAAGGGTGGCCAGAGATGGAAAGGAAAGTTCCACAACTATTGTTATGAGGGATCAGAGATTCAATGGTAACTTGCTTAACTATTCTTTCTATGCTCAGATCCTCTCTACCATGGTGATGCTACCAAGCTGCTGTCTATTTCTGTTTGTTTTCTATGATAGAAAATTCATGACCTCCCCCCCAAAAATTTTTTTTCAAGATCATGAAAAGTTATCTTTTGATTTTGAGATATAATCTATATTTCTAAAGTTCAACCCATTGTGTTTTGGGTTAACCTTTTGTGACTACACAGAAAAAAAGTAATATTAATAATCTCTTTTAAATAATGAAAACTGTTCTCTTATCATTATTGAGTTTGGCTGTTTTATGCTACATGTTACCCTCCTTTCAACTTTTTTCCTACAGGACATGGATACAACCCCCATCATCTCTCCTTTGGGAATAGACTCCAGTGACTATATGGTTCTATTAAAAAATAGTAAGGAGAAATAAAAACTGGGTTTAAGTCTAGTCTCACCCCTTAGTAGCTGAATAATCCAATATTTCTAATTTTTTAGCTTCATTCATAAATGGAGGTTAATTGGGGGGAGGGTGTTGAAGCAGGTGATTTATTAAAGTCTGGTGTAGCTCTCAGATGCATAATTTCTGCATGTAAGTCTTTACCCTGGAATTGAACTTCAAATCAGTCCAAAGGTAACTATATGGTGCCAACTGTGGCTACATCTTCCTGGTACTTTCTAGCCTGCAAGAAGAGATCGATACCACAACAGAAAGATTTGTATCACACAAGCTAAAGCAAAGACTAGGCCAACGCGAATTTTATTTTTCTGGCCTATCATTTTCTTTATTGTATCTTAAGAATAGGGAGTTTCTATGGAGGCTTTGAAATTCAATCCACTGTACGAAATAATTTACTTTAGTGGTCAAAGAAGCTGGTTGGAGTTGTTGGTCAAGGAAGCTGGTTGGAGTTATTGACCAGGAACTAAAAAGTCTGTTTCAGAGCCAGAAAATCTGCTGAACCAGGTGCTTCCACAAAATGTCAGAGATGACTCACAATTATCCAATTGTATATGTGGCAAACCATGACCTTTCTATGATCGCTGAATTCAGATCTTCCTGATCTCTCTTTAAAATGAAGAAAGGTGGGCAGGGGAAATCACATAGCCTGGATTCTCTAAGTATAGGGATAGAAACTCCAACTAAGCTAAAAGTAACCATTTGTACAGTATTTTACAATTTATTGATTTATTGTCCAATATCTATGGAGTAGTTGTTAAAACAAAGAAACTGAAGGTCAGGGAAGTTACATATCTTACCCACAGTCATAAGTTAAGGAGCATATAATGCAGCCACAGTCTGTCTGGATCCAGGGCTCACATTCTTCTCACTATCCCACTAACCCATGATCATTGAAATGGGTAGGATTTTCTTGGGATTATTATCAAAGAATATTTAGAAATGGTCTAAGTGATAACTAACTTTTCTTGTTCTCCTCTAGTTCTTGGGGATTCTGGGTTCTCTTTTTCCTTCCACAGTAAAATGTGACTCCCTCCATCCTTTCGCCTGTGGACAGGTTGTTGGCTAAAACTGGAGGGTTTCCGGAATATACGTTCTACTGAATAATGATCTTGATGCCTGGCCAGTTGGGCAATCAGACAATTCATCTTTGGTGTCAATCACCAATATAATATAGAATGCTTGCCTTCTCTCCGTCAGTATTAACTAAATTGGGTTAGAAGAAGATAGAAAATAATGGGATCCGGAAATTAGAAAGGTCTATAGACTGGAAGTCAAAAGTTGTGTATTCTAGTCTCCATTAAGACTCTGATTACCGAGTTTTCTTTAATGACACCCTCTCTAGGCCTCATATTCAAAATTTTGGAATGATTCTAGATCTTTAAAGAAGGGTTGACTTTCTGTCAGCACTCACTGGTAAGGTGAACCAGTGGTTAAAACATTGAAATACTTCCATACTGGTTGGTAAAGAAGTAACCCCTGGCATAGTAGGGCTCTAAACCTATCTTTTATTGCAGCCTAGCAACATAGCCAATGACCACTGAATTGTTCTATGTCTGTGCCATATCTGTTCCTAAATATTTTAATATCACTGTTCCGAGCTTTAATATCTTCTATGTGTTTTTTATTTCCTCTCTCCCCTGCCACAGAGGTAAGCAAAGAAAACTACTCCAGTTTAAACCCTCTACTAAGCACAATGATCCATTCAAAATACACCAGAGAAATCCAAGCTGCCAATGTCCTGTTGTCCCTTAGACTTGTTGGGATCCAGGACCAAAACATAGAACAAAAGCTGTTAAAAGAAGTCAGAAACAGTGAGGAAAAGAAGGGTGAGTATTATATTCTCTGGAAGGTTTAGGATAACAATTCCCTATCTATAAAGATTATCTCCAGTGAGTCCTAAAAATTGTGTGTCCAAAGTATCCCTGCTACATCTATCTAGCTATATAAAACTTCAGATGACAGAAAGGTGCCTCAAAATATCAATCTCCCTGCCACTTACTCAAGAGCCACTTACTTCTTTGTTTAAGATGTCACAGGAAAAGCAAAAGAAATTATGGAGTCTTAACCATTAATATGGTACTACAAACTAGCTGAGTTCACGACAACCAGATGGAGATGTGGACCACAACTAAGAAAGCTGACAATAGAGAGGCAACCATAGAACAAGAGACATGTGGCCTTGGTTTCAGTCCAAGCTCCACCTTGTACCTATTATGTCAATACAGAGCCTCAACTTTCTATTTAACATAAGGGGGAAATGAAGCTACCCCTATCTATCTCTTATTGAGATAGGTAAAAATTATGAAAATCCCAAGTGTTTTTATACTCTATAAGGCAAAATATTAAAGTTAATTATTATCCTGGCAAGATGACACCCACAAAGAGAGAAGATCCCAAGATGTCATTATTTATCTATTTTGCTTCTTTTTTATTTTTATAAGGATTGCAAGATTCCAAAAAGATTCCATGATTTCATCTAACTTACATTTTTACAGTGAAGCTAGCAAAAGCTATGCTTTGGAGATAAAGATGAGAACAGTAAAATATTAATCTGGAGTGGAACATAAGAAAGAAGTGACAAGAAACTTAAGTCACAAAGAAGACGGGAGGCCAAAAATTTTAGAAGTATATGCCTTGTTAAAATTGAATAATTTTCTTTTTGTGGTCAGATTTAACCTCGGGACAGCTTGCCTTGGTTATACTGGCTTTGAGAGCATGTCAGAATTCTGATGAAAGTGTTACAAATTTTCATCTGGTCAGCCAACTAGAAGAGAAATTCCAAGAAGAAATTAAAAATATGGGTGAGAATCAATGTTTAGAGATTCTGGAAAACATTGTCTTTTTCTCTACTGATTCGAAACTGTATGAAGTGTCCTTCCACTCTTCCTTCTCCTCTTCATTCCGTTCATCTCACTCTATCTTTGTAGATCACCTTCCCTTCTTCCCTTTCTATATGCATCTTGAATTGTCTTTTCAAATATATTCAACTGAACAGTGACCCTACATTAAGCATGCACACACATACACAGTTCTCTAGTCCTATACAAGGTTGACTTTTAGGCAAATAATGAATCACACCAGAAATAGCTGAGCAATACCAGACATTGTATCATAAGTACTGAAGCATACAATACTAATATGGAAGTTAAAGATGGCTAATAGTACTTCATCACTGGAAATAATAGGTTGACCATGATGGCTTCTTACTTTTATTTTAACTCCTATCCAATATCTTATTACTCAATAAGTCCCTCCAATCCCATCCTTCTTTGAGATGGCCTCAACTTCTTATAGCTTCAGCTCATTACTATTGAATATGCAGGAGGCTTGGTGATGGGAAATCCGTGTCCTAGCTTTATAAACACTTGAATATCAGGATAGTATTTTAATACTTTTAATGCTAGGTCTCCTCAGTGATAAAATGTAAGAATTTTAATTTGGTAGCTCTTAGAGCCTTTAATTTTTTTCAACTTTGCTGATTCTATGAGTGATTCTCCTTTTTTATTACTTATCTCTCATTCAGTGTAAATAAATTGGAATAAAGTGAATAGGAATAGACTTCAAATGAATTACCCCAGTACCATTTCCATGCATAAGGTATTTCTTTTCTCTCTGCCAGGAGTACATGATGGCAATCCACTGACTAACTACTACCAACTCAGCCTGGACCTGCTGACCTTGTGTCTGTTCAATGGGAGCTACACAATCACCGAAGTTAAAAATTACTTCACTCCGGAAAATAAAAACTTTTATTTTGGTGGTCAGTTCTCAGTAGGTGAGTCATTAAACTCAATTCTCTTGATAGAGAGGACACAGTTATTAGTAGGCCTTGCCCTTAGAGTTTTTCTATAAGTAAGTATTTAGATTTTTTTCTATTTCATCTATCCTAGACTCCTCAGAGGGGAGTTTTCTTTTTTTAGAAGAATGGAAACTGAAGTTAAATCTTTTTGTAGATGTGTAAGTATAGTAGAAAAACATGGATCCTATGCCAGCTTTTGAGTTATAGAACCAATGGATGTTAACACCACTTTAATTTTCCCATCTTTAAAATTAGGATATAATATGAAAATCTTCATATAAGGCATTTTAGAAATCATACATGCTAGACAAAGGGAATACAGTGGAATCTATTTATCTTAACCCCTGCCTCTTTTTCCAGTTTATTGCAATCACTTGGATATGTGAGTTTACTTGAACAACACACAACGTCTCCAAATAATAAGGCCCAATATTTTGCTCAATAAAATGTGTATTCACAATGAATTACTAGAAATTTTCTACTGGATTAGCTTACCCATCCAAAAAAAAGTTGCCTCTAGACAACTAGTATTGGTGCTTAGCCCCTACAGATTCAGATACACAAAAGCTAATCTTCCTCAAAGCATCTCGAAAATCATTCCATATCTCTAGATAGTAAGGAAGACATGAGATTTCTTATACTCCTTTTCCTTTGAAAGAGGGAGGCCACCAAGTAGGGGGGGGGGGGGTACGACTAAGTAACAAGTCAGAAAAAAACACACACACCTTATTTTCCCTTCTTTCAATCTTTTGCCTCATCCTCCACCTAAAAGCGGTTTATTAGAAAATGATTCTCTTAAGCATTATTTACTAATTAGTCTAATGGAAACCTTGAAATATTACAAAGACATATTTTGTTTGGTTTGTCATCCTTTGTTTTCTCAATTCCTTTGAAAATATGGCTGAAAGATGAAAATGAAAATGAAAAACAAGATGTAAAAGTGGAAGACTGTATGCACCTACAAATTCATGTGTTTCTATGACCAAGATATGAGTTATTGAGTACAAGGTACATGGTTACTCAACATAAGGAAGGACTCTTAAAATATTGGAGTGATTAGTGTTGAAGGGATGATTGCTATCTCTTGAAATCCTTCTCTCCCATAAACCAACTAGCATGAACAATCATCCCAGTTTACCCAGATATGTTTCCTTTTTAGCACTGAAAGTCCCACATACCAGTAAACCCTTCAGTCCTAGGCAAACTGGCATGGTTGGTCACTCTCTCACCAATATTTGGTTTCCTGACAGATACTGGTGCAATGGCTGTCCTGGCCCTGACCTGTGTGAAGAGGAGCATAATGAATCAGCAGATCCTAACAAATGGAGAGGATTTGCAGCATATCAATAATTATACAGAGTCACTGGTAAAAAAGATTCTGTCTGAGAAAAAAAGAAATGGTCTGATTGGGAATATATATAGTACAGGAGAAGCTATGCAGGTAAGTCAAAGGCTAACCCAGGAAATAGGGAAGGGAGTCACAGAGAAAAGCAATAACTTCATTCTTTCTTTTTAAATTTCTGAGATTTTATTATCCATTCTATTTCATATATTACCATTGATTCTATTCATATGATTCCCCTCCCTGACTGAAATGTATTCTCCTTACCTTCAATCTTTACCTTTCCATAGCCAATGCTTCTATAAAGCTTTCCTTGGTTACAATTTCTTTAAGAAATTCTGGAGCCTACTACAATCACAACCTATCTTATTCTATCACATGCAATTTCACACTTTACCATATACCATTGTTTTGAGTTTTCATCTTAACACCCAAATTAGATATTGTAGAAGCAGCAGTGGCCGGAACAGCAGCTGGTATTTATTAACATTAACTCATTGATGCACACAACAACCCAATGAGGAAAGAATTATTACTTTTATTTCCTAGAATAGGAGCATGAGATATGGAGTACCAGTAACTTGCCTGATATTACAAAGCTAGAAAGTAATGCAGATAGGTATAAAATCTAAACAGTTGGTTTCAAAGCTCACTCTCAGCACCTACACTCTCCTGTATATGTTCCTTGAAATATGAGACTTTATTCCTGCACTGATTTACTCAACTCCAAGAAGACATCAAGTAAGACTTACAGAAAAACAATTCACTGAGTCTTTAGGAATTTGCCCTGATGACTCAGGGTAAAAGAACCTTAAAAGCGACAGAGGATAGCAAGACAAAGACCAAAAGCATCAAGAACATTACACATTTTAGGAAGATCCCAGGTGTTTTGCATGGTCAGCATAGGGTCCTTAGGAAAAATTACATTGTAAAGCTGGTTGTAGGCAGGGGTCCAATCATAAGGTTATATTGTTGTTACTATCCATGTTGTCTGCCTTGCTGAGTTTAAATTTAATATAAAACAATGGCTTCTCATTCAAGCTGCACATTTTGAAACAGGAGCTTTCAGAAAATACTCATCTTTGAGGTCCACACCAGCCAGTTAATCCACCAGAAATTTAGGGTGGATCATTGTCCTTGGTCTTGTTTAAAAGCTCTACAGATGATATTAATTCACAGCAGGATCAAGAGTTTCCTGCCTGCAAGATAGCTCTTAAGAGGAGATATAATATGATCGGTTTTGTTTCTTTTATTATCTCATAAATGCTTATTGACTAGTTGTTAACTTGAAGAACCTTCAAGAAAAGGCAGAAAAGGTGGATTGCTCTTCCCTCAGAAACTATAGGGAAACATCTTCAAGTCCAAGACATTTACTTCTTGTCTTTCTCATTCTAATACCCTCCTAACTTTTCCTACCCCATAATTCTGCTCCTTCAATTCAGTTTATATCTGTTGCCTGGATAGTTTCTATTCAAGAAACTATTAGGCTTCCCACTGCTGAGCAAATAATGTTGGACACCTCATCCTAAAACTCAAGGGTCTACCAATCTGGCCCCAACCTCCTTATCTAGACTGTTCTTCCACAATGTCCCTGAGTGTTTTCCATATACCAGTCCTTCCAGGGCAGGAGAAATCCTTTGGGGATTTTGTTAAAATGCAGACAAGCTCTTCACTGCCGGCCATGCCCTAGCCACTGCTACTCTAGCACCTTCTATCTCTGTTCTCTCTGGGTACAGGGTTCCCCTCCTCATGTCACCTACTAAAATGCCATCATATCATAAGGACTACTTCAAGTACCATCTTCTCCACCAAGCCTTTTCTTAACCCCACTAAATGTTTAGAGCTCTTCCTCTTTTGAGAGACTGCCACTAAATGTTTCTCTTAGAGCATTTATCTCAGGGGCTCCTTAACAACAGTTTGTTAACAATATGTATTGAGCCGGGACCGGTTTGGCTCAGTGGATAGAGTGTCGGCCTGCAGGCTGAAACGTCCTGGGTTCGATTCCGGGCAAGGGCGTGTACCTTGGTTGTGGGCACATCCCCAGTAGGGGGTGTGCAAGAGGCAGCTGATCGATGATTCTCTCCCATCAATGTTTCTAACTCTCTATCCCTCTCTCTTCCTCTCTGTAAAAAATCAATAAAATATATTTTTTGAAAAGAAAGAAAAGAGAAAAAGAACAGTATCTCTCCACTTCTTTAAAAAAAAAAAAAAAACAATATGTATTAAGTGCCTCCTATATGATGGGTATTGTTCCAATGTTTGGGGCACAAGAGTGAATATGGTAGAGAAAGTCTATTCTCATTGGTGTTATTACAGTTTGGATTATTAAGCAATTTGCCACCTCCCCACCCACAATAGTTGATAAGCTTCTTGAATGCATGAAATGTGTATAAAGTACCTCCTATGTAGTCAATGTCAAATGAATATTTACTGTATTAGATGTAAGCTTTCCCCTATTTAAAGTCATCCCTCCCCCTCTCTCTCTCATAAGGCTCTCTTTGTCTCACCAAACTATTATAACAAAAATGAATGGAATTGTCAACAAACTCTGGACACAGTGCTCAAGGAAATTTCTCAGGAAGCATTCCATATGCCAACTGCTGCAGCCCAGATCTTACCTGCCCTGATGGGAAAGACCTACTTGGATGTTAACAATGTCTCTTCTTGTGCCAGCAGTCCAGGTAAAGCAGTAAAGAGTAAACTGTTTTTTTGCCTTTTCAGAATAATACCCAAAGCATGTGAGATTTAGATGTTCTTAGGAACCAAAGGTGACCAAATAAATCTCTAAAGCATCATAGTTTCCACACAGAGCTCAGTCCTTGATATGTCATCATAGATTATTCCCATTTGAAGATTTGTTCTTAACAAGGTAGTAGGTGTCATTCTTGATTTAAACACTGATAAACAAGGTAGACTTGATTAAAAGATTTCTATCTCCAAAAGGATTTTTCTGATTGCTGGAAACAGACAGATGTTCTGAATATCATTCCTATCCTAAACAAAGTATTGTATCTCTGACTTCCCATTGTGCCCAGTAAGTGATCCCTCAGGGAAATAAGATATCTGTGTGAAAGGAATGTGGCAATATTGAAAGAAACTGCAGCATGCATCACTGATTTTGCAAAAAGATAAACTTATTTTTCTATCTCACTCATTCCTGGTTCAACCACTGACAGGTTTAGGGAACTTGGACAAAATGTCTCACCTCTAAGTTCCAAGTTTCTAATGTAAGAAATGCAAACAATAGTATCTAATGTAGGTTTTTGTAAGGACTGAATGAAACAGTTCACATAAAATGACTAGTACAGTTCCTGGTGCACTATTTTTTCAATAAATGTTAAGAAATAAAAAGGCAAAAAAAAATTGAAGCATTATTGTATGCTATATCAAAGAGAAAAACTCAGGAGCCTCCATGAGAAATAGGGGAGGGGGTAACTGAAATGTTTAAACAGCTGGGAGTCAAGCTGAGCACAAGTATTCACAAGCTGGTGAGCATCTGGTTTTCATTTCTGCTTTCATCACACAAGAGCTCTGCCCCTTGATTGACACCACTTGTTCCTGTAGCAAATCCCTTCTGCATAAAGGAAAGGAGTGTGTGGATAGAAGTTGGATAGGTGTGCAAATTCTAAAATTATTTTTATTGTCCCGAATAATAATTCTCTGTTTTCCTCTCTCTGTAAGGTCACCTTAATATCTCTATTGATGAGCTGATACCTGTAGAACCTACCATTTCACCCATAAAGATCTCAGTCAACTACACTGTGCAAATCAATGAAACATTTTTCACCAATGTCACCGTGCCAAAGGGTTCTGTCTTCTTGGATGTGATGAAGGAAGCTCAGAAAATCAATCAGACTGCATTTCGGTATGTTTGTATATGGCCTAAGGTTAAGGGATTTAGTGTGATTTTGAAAGAATAAAAAATACATCTGCACATAAATACAATAAACAGTTAAAACACATCTTAGCCCTGACTGGTTTGGTTCAGTGGCCTGCAGACTGAAGGGTCCCAGTTCTAGTTACAGTCAAGGGCACATGCCTGGGTTGCAGACTCAATTCCCAATAGGGAATATGCAGGAGGCAGCTGATCAATGATTTTCTCTCATCATTGATGTTTTTATCTCTCCCTATCCCTTCTCTAAAGTCAATAAAAAATATATTTTAAAAAAAACAACATTTTGCCGAAACCGGTTTGGCTCAGTGGATAGAACTTCAGCCTGCAGACTGAACAGTCCCAGGTTCGATTCTGGACAAGGGCATGTACCTTGGTTGCGGGCACATACCCAGTAGGGGGTGTGCAGGAGACAGCTGATTGATGTCCTTCTCATGGATGTTTCTAACTCTCTATCCCTTTACTTTCCTCTCTGTAAAAAAAATCAATAAAAATATTTTTTAAAGTAAATCTTTAAAAAAAAACAAAAACACACACACATCTTAATCAGTTTTTGCTGACCATCTATATCTCATGGTAGATGAAAGAGGTGAAACCTTTCATCTTCTAATACATATTAGGCATTAAATTAATGTTCACTTAGTGGATGAATAAGTCCCAGGAACTTCACTTCTAACAGTAAATCTCCTTCAATAAATATAACTTCTTAAGACAGGCATTTTATGTCCAAAACAGTAGTTCTTAACCTTTTTTGAGTCACTAACCCCTTTGAGTAGGATGCTCATTGCAGAAAAATGAACATACGTATAAAACGTTATTAAATCAGAGGGTTCACAAATGCCTGGAAGCCTCTCCATGCCCCACCCCTTTCAGCAGATTTCATGGACCTCCTAGACAAAGGTTCCCTGGCCTAGAAAGGTCAAATATTAAAATTAAGATATTGACTTTGTCTCTGAAAACTCTGGTTTACTTGGTTTCTTAAACCTAATTGACAATTGTTATTGTGTTTAATAACATGATGTACGATGATACACAGAAAACTATATATATATATATATATATATATATATATATATATATATGAAAATATCTATGTGTATATATTTTTATAATATATATAATGATAAAGGCTCCTTGCAAGTGCTCCCAGAAATGTGACTAAAAATGTGAAACATACATTGACCATGTCATTTATTTTTTAATCATCACCCAAGGATATGTTTCTATTTATTTTAGAGAGAAAAGAAGGGAGAGGGAGAGGACAAGGGAGAGGGAAAGAGTGAGTATGATGGAGAGGGAAAGATGGAGAGGGAAAGGCAAGAGCGAGGGCGAGGGCGAGAGGGTGAGGGAGAGGGAGAGAGAAACATAGATTATTTAAATCCTGCTCATGCCCCAACTGGGGATTGAACTCAAGACCCTTCAGTGCATAGATGACATTCCAACCAACTAAACTATGTCATCTAGGGAAACCATATCACTTTTTTTGGTTGTTGTTGTTGTTGTTGTTGTTTAGGGCATTTTATTCTTTTTTAATTAATTAATTTCTTTTTCTTCATTGATTAAGGTATTACATATGTGTCCTTATTGCCTCATTGCCCCCCACCCCATCCTCACTCATGCTCACCCCCCTAGTGTCTGTGTCCATTGATTATGCTTATATGCATGTATACAAGTCTTTTGATTGATCTCTTCCCCTTCCTCCTTCCCTTCCCTCTTAGGTTTGATGGTCTGATTGATGCTTCTCTGTCTCTGGATCTATTTTTGTTCATTAGTTTATGTTGTTCATTATATTCCACAAATGAATGAGATCATGTGATATTTATCTTTCTCTGACTGACTTATTTCTCTTAGCATAATCCTCTCCATATCCATCCATGCTGTTGCAAATGGCAGAAGTTCTAATAAACAAACATGAAATATTAAATTATTCTTCCCTGTTTCTCTTTCTGAAGAGAAAACCTACTAACTTAGGACTTATTGTGCCTCTTGCACATCAGTTTAACACTTTTGTTTACTGTTTTAGAAACTTTGACAGTGACTATCTTGGGGTAGAAGTTGTCTTCAAAGTGTCCCCTATGATGGGAAGAGGGGCAGGAACATGGGCATCATTTCCTTAATTTACCAGGTACTGGGACTGCCTTTATCAAAATCACTTAGTTTATGAAATGTGAAAGATTCCTGGTCTCAGCCCAGACCTACAGAATCAAAATATCTAGGGATAGGGCCAGGAAATATGCATTTTCAGGGTAACATCTTCAAGTGATTCTTGGGACATTAAAGTTTGAAAAATGCCCATGTACAATTAATTTTCTTTGAAAATTCTAAGCTCCACCCTAACTGGCGTGGCTCAGTGGATAGAGTGTCAGCCTGCAGACTGAAGGGTCCTGGGTTCAATTCCACAAAAGGGCACATGCCCGGGTTGTGGGCTCAATCCCCAGTAGGGGTGTGCATGAGGCAGCCAATCAATAATTCCCTCTCATCATCGATATTTCTATCTCTCCCTCTCAGAAATCAATAAAAATGTATATTTAAAAAAATTCTAAGTTCCTGTAATCTATTCACTGCCCCCACAGTTTCACATATGCGGAGAGCTCGTGGGGCCCTTACATCACCTCTGTTCAGGGCTTGAAGGAGAACAGTAATGACAGAACCTACTGGCAACTCTTGAGTGGAGGCGAACCAGTGAGCCAAGGTAAGGGAGAGTATGCCAAAAGCCCTACAGAGTGAAAAGGCCCAGACAGTTCATATATGAGGGTGTGAGCTTCTCTGGGAAATGTGGCATGGAATTGGGAGAGATATCCATTATTTAGTGATTTGGTGGTCAAATCATTTGACTCACTTCTCCTTCTTCCTTCCAGGAGTTGCAAGTTATGTTGTCCATAATGGAGAAAATTTGGAGGTTCGCTGGAGTAAATACTAATAAACTCAAACCTTCCTCAGCCAGATCTAATTCTTTGGCAGTAGAATTCCACGTGGATATTGGCCTCATGCCTTTCTTTGATCTCAATCACAATAGGAGCTTAAAAAATACCTTTCCTTTCTTTCTTTGCATGTTCAATAAATATCAACAACCACACAAAATAGTATGTTCTAATCATGTTATTTTAAAGGGATATTATTATTAGGGAGAAGACCACTTCAGGAAGAAGTAAAGTGAAAGAGATTAAACCATGTCTAAAAAACTGAGTTCTACTCAAGGTCTCCCTGACATCTGGGTGTCCTTGGGCCACTGGGAAAATGGAAATAAGGTTCTAGGTCTACTGTTGTAGCCACAGCAAGAAGATCAAGTACAGACACCTATAGGGAGACCAAGGTCTTGGGGGCTGGGCCACTGGGAAAATGGAAATAAGGTTCTAGGTCTACTGTTGTAGCCACAGCAAGAAGATCAAGTACAGACACCTATAGGAAGACCAAGGTCTTGGAGGCCCAAATGCAAAGGAGGAACCAAATGGATAAATAGACCTCACACAGGCACTGGGTTAAAAAGGAAAGTGTTGCTCTGCTTAGAATGGAAATGTGATGTTTATACATGAAAAGTCAATTTATAAAGTTTAAGGAAAAATATCATCCTCTCCACATTTACTTTCCTTTTCTACCCATAAAAACCATGTGACATTCATACCATTAAAAGGAACATGCAGCCTGGCTCAATGGTTGAGCATGTACTAATGAACCAGGAGGTCACTATTTGATTCCCAGTCAGGGCATATGCCCGGGTTGCAGGCTTGATCCCCAATGTGGTGCATGCAGGAGGCAGCCAATCAATGATTCTCTCTCTCATTGGCATTTCTTATATATCTCTCTCTTTCCCTTCCTCTCTGAAGTCAATTTATATATATTAAAAAGAGAACTGCCAAAAAAAATCACCTCTGATGTTCATTTCAGCAGAACTCACTTTTTTTTAAAAAAGTTGAATCATAGTGTCCAGCCAGTGTGGCTCAGTGATTGAGCACTGAACCATAAACCCAGATTTGGGGCTGTTAGCTTGGGGCAGCAGCTCTCAGATTTGTTTGTACAATCTATGGGAAATTGAAGTATAATGGTTTAAGGCGGCAGATATGTAAAATGTTAGAACTGGAATTACTGTCCATAATAAAATGTGTGACCATACAATTTATCATCCAGCCTTGACATTATAAAGAGTGACAAGGGAACACTATTAATAATTACATTTGAAAAAAACAGATTAAGAACTAATCTGGGAAAACCAAAACATATGGTCTATTTTGTCCATAAGGAAAAACAGGGAAGCTTAAGCAAAATAACATAGACACAAATATGTCAAAATAACAAAAAGTACTGACCTTGTAACTGACCAATGAAAATTGATCAATGAAATTGAATCTCAATATAACAAGTTGGAATACTGGATGTCCCTTTGAGATCCCTAACACACACACACACACACACACACTCAGCATTAAAAAGTCATTTCCTTATTTCCTTTATAATTCTTACTTAATTATTCTGATTGGTTCAAGCATCAAGTCTCACATAATGCTTCCTAATGTTATTAGCACTCATTTTGAACAAAGAGAGCTGAGTTTCTCCAGCCAGTGATCTCTAAATAGAAGGTAGTAACACTGCCATATGGTAGAAACTCCTTTAATCTCAGAGATAGCCAAAAGGTTAATGGAATCACATTCCCTTACCAGTCCACTAACATGGACTGGTGAAACCTAAACTGGCCTCACTTGCATTTTCAGAAACACCTAAGTCTTGGGACTATTATAAAACCTACATATTGTCTGAGGGGACAAACTTCCATCTTCTGCCACAGCAAAAAATAATCAATCCAAATAAACCTTTAAAACGTCCAATGAGGGAGTCTGGGTGCTTTGATACCAGGAAATTCGATACAGGAAAAAAGCAAATAAATAAATAAATAAGCCCACTTGATAACCAAGAACTGTCAAAACATACCATGTAGTGAAGTAATGTATGGCCTATGGTTTCCTGTCTGCAAGTTATTTGCTAAGTGAAGCAACTGTGTCATAATCAATCTGCAGTAACCATGGCCAGAAGAGGTAATTTATAAGGAAGTGTATGCTTAAGGAGAGGGCACCCACGCGTGTGTGGATTCTCTCAGGATGGTCATACGCAGGCTCTGGAACCCAAGGTCAACGATATGCTGGATTCCTATTTCTGTATTAGATTCTTATTGCTGCTGTAACTAATTACCATAAATTTATTGGCTTAAAACAAGACAAATTTATTATCATATAGTTCTGGAGGTCAGAAGTCTGAAATACCAGGCCCGGGGGAGCAGGCGGGTCGGGTGCGGCCAGGCCCGGAGCAGCGGCTGCCAGGCTGGGAGCGGCCAGGCCCGGGGGAGCAGACGGGGCTGGTGCGGCCAGGCCCGGAGCAGCGGCTGCCAGGCTGGGAGCAACCAGGCCCGGGGGAGCAGGCGGGGCTGGTGCAGCCAGGCCCGGAGCAGCGGCTGCCAGGCTGGGAGAGGCCAGGACCGGGGGAGCAGGCGGGTCGGGTGCGGCCAGGCCCGGAGCAGCGGCTGCCAGGCTGGGAGCGGCCAGGCCCGGGGGAGCAGGCGGGTCCGGTGCGGCCAGGCCCGGAGCAGCGGCTGCCAGGCTGGGAGCGGCCAGGCCCGGGGGAGCAGCAGCCAAGTCCAGAGCAACTAGGTCGGGAGCGGCAGTGACCAGACCCGGAGCAGCTGGTTGTGGAATGAACCAGAGCAACAGAGGCCAGGCCCTGAGCAGCCAGGCCCGGAACAGCTCGCTCCTTGCCTGCCCCTGCCCCAAGGCTGCTTCTCAGACATGGCTGGAAACTTTCGTGGGAACTTGAGTGTCTGCTGAATCAAGTGATGAAGGCTTAGATCTGGATGTGTTGAGTTAGTTTAGGACTGGGGTGTTGATCTGTGAGTGCCTTGGGTGGGGCCTGGATGAGGCTGGTTGACCTAGTGGGAAATGTCTTTTGTGTGAAGTGTATCATTGGGCATGTGGAGGTATTATTGATATGAGAAAATGCTAAGTAACTGATTTACTATCTGAAAAGGGATTTACTATTGGGGAAATTGAGGGAAGAAGAGACTGAACATAAACTGCACCTATGGATGAGGACAATGGGGGATGGGGGGGGACGGAGGGTGGGGTGGGAACCTGGTGGAGGGGGGAAATGAGGAACCTTTGTAATAATATGAACAATAAAGATTGCTTTAAAAAAAAAAAATAATAAATAAATAAAAAATAAATATAAAAAAAAAAAAAAAAAAAGAAGTCTGAAATAGATCTCACTGGTCTGAAATCAAAGTTTTGAAAGAGCTATGTTCTAGAGTTTTTAGGGAAGAATTTACTTCCTTGCCTTTCTAGGTTTAGGGAGATGCCTGCATTCCTAGGTTCACATTCCCTCCACTTTCAAAGTCAGCAACTGGATCCTTCCAACCTCTGCTTTCATCATCACATCACCTTCTCTGACTCTAATTCTCCTGCCTCACTCTTCCACTCATAAGAACTGCTGTGATTACTTTGGGCCCACTCAGATAATCCCAGATAATCTTCCTATTTTAAAGTCAGTTTATTAGCAATCTTAATTCCATGTGCAACCTTAATTCCCTTTACCGGGTAATCCAACACATTCACCAGTCCCAGGGATTAGGATATGGGCTTCTCGAGTGGCTGTTATTCTGTCTATAATCCCTCACATGGCATATAAGGCCCTCTACCATGCAGAGCCAAACTGTCTTTCTGGTCTCATAACCTACATAGGCCATGTATCAATTATATATTGCTGCAAATGAGTTACCCTAAAACTCAATGGCTTAAAACAATATTTCTTATGTCACAGTTCCTGTGAGTCAGAAATCCAAGGGAAGGTTAAGTGGGTCCTCTGGCTCAGGGTCTCTGACAAGGCTGAAGTCAAGATGCCACCTGGTGCCTCCTTCATCTCAAAGCTTGACTATTAATAACACTAGGAAGCAGAGTGGCATAACTTGTTGTTTGAGCCAATTGAAATAAGTAAATAAGAATTGCATGGTCATTGGCAGGATTCCTCCCTCCTCAGCTGTTGGCTGAAAACTTCTCTCAGTTTTCAACACCTGGTTTTTCCCCAAGGCAGTTTATAATATGACAGATAGATTTATCAGAGAGAAAAAAAATGAGATAAGCCAGAGAGACACTGCAAGTGAGAAGGAAGTTGGTCTTTTGTAACCTCATCCCATTACTTTTGCTGTATTATATTCATTAGAAACGAGGCCAGCCCACACTTCAGAGAAGGGGTTGGTTATGCGAGAGCATGTACCAGGAGCTGGGAATATAGGGCCATGCTAGAAGCTTCCTAGCATACTCCAATATGTACCCTGTGTTCTCACCTCACAAAACCACTAACATTCCCCGAAAACGAAAAATGTGGTTTATAACCCGTCTTATATTTGTTCATTAATTCACTCATTCTAAAGGTATTCAAGTGGTACCTACTGTGAGCTAGGAAGTGTTTCAAATGCTGGGGACAGAGCTGTGAACAAAATAGACAAAGCCCCTTGGAGCAGACATTCTAGTTGGAAGGTGACAGACATTAAATAAATTGCACATATAGTGTGACAGAAGGTGAGAAATGATACAGGTAAGACGCACAGTGGGGGTCGGTGGGTGAGCATGTCTTATATACAGTGGTTTCAGGAAAACCTCTCTAAAAGCTGACCTCTGAGTAGAGACGTGGCAGAAGTGAGGGAGCTGCCATGAGAATATTTGTAGTCTATTTGCTATACTCAAGCACACTTTGGCACAAAGTTCTTTATTTACTTTTGCCCACACCTGTATATATTTAACATTGAATGCAGTGTATAGATCTCACATTTTCTAATTACTTACTTAGAAAGATAGCATCTGAAAAATACTTTCATACCCAGATAAGGAAAGGAAAGTCAAACAAAATTTCTGGGAAGCAGGTCCATTGCCTGCCTAAAGTCAA